TGTGCATGCTAAGACAAAAGATGTCCCCAGAAATAGCAACTATAGTTGCGCCGGAGTATCACCGTCATCAGCCGAAAGAGGGATTGGGTGCGAATCTCGCTTCTTGCTTTTGATGGGGCGTTATCTGACTGGTAACTAATCATTATATTCAATCCAACAACGAAGTTATTATAAGTAGTCTTCCAATAATTCCGAATTGAGCAATTGATTGAATTATACTTAACTGAGATTTTCATGTGCCGCTAGCTTATCTGTTTGCTTGATCTGGATAATCCAACCATTAACCGGTTTGGATGGTGGTCTGGTTCCGGCATATCCCTGCTTAGCATACTTTTCAATCTGTTGACCTTCCGTCAACTCGAATCATTGCATGATGATGTCTCACAGCTAACTAATTGATGTAATGCGCACTTACCCCCGCTATTGATTTTGATTTTGATTTAAATTTTATTCCATCTTAAAATTTAAAGAAAAAAAAAACAAAAATGGCTCGTTGTGATCATCACCAAAGAAGGTAAATAGAATAAATAATAAATAAGAATTTATATAATAACAAATAATAACAATTACGAATATTTTTAGTGAGAAAAAAAAACAGATACCTAACAACAGGTAAAAAAAATAGTTTTTTTAAATAATAGTAAGAAAATCAAATATAAATATAAAACTTATTAAATTTTCAGCTTCACGCATGCAATGAAGCTAAGGTCAAAACTGACCAAAGAAAGAAAAAGAAGAGAAAAGGCGGAGGAGGAGTTAAAAAAAGAACGAGAAAGGAGGGAGCGGGCGGAAGTAATAGCAGAGGGAATTAAAGAGGCATACAATAATCTATTTAGAGATTATGAAAGATGTAAGGATGCATTGGCGGACTGGGAAAGGAGGTTTACAACAGAGGTGATGAAAAATCAGTGGTGATTAGAGAAAAAAAACTTCGTTTAATATTTATATTTTTATTTTTTTTAAAATTAATTTAAATTTTTAGTAGCAAATTTCAATTAATCATATACAATTAATGATTAATTTAAGAATTAAGCATTATCGAGATTTTCTAAGACTAACCACTCCTTAAAAGTTTTTTTTTTTGAATACTATGCGTAGTTTGAATAGAAGATTCAATTACGGCTTCATTATATATAATTTGATCATTAGTATTAAAATTATCAATGTTCTCAATTGTTTGCATTACATTTTCTTTAAATTTTTCTTCAAAATCATTATTTCCATATCATCAAATTCAATATTCGATGCAGTATTTTCAAGACTTGCTTGATCAAGCCTATTTCTTTCTTGTGCAATATGCCATCGAATGCATGTTATTTTTTGCTGCACGTTCATTTATAAGTTTGTTACGCTGTGGTAAATGGATATTTGCAATAAATAACCAGAATCTTTCGCTTTCAGCAGAAATAGGTGGTATCAACTAGTGATGCCGACAATACTCTTGACAAAACCTGATAAAAATATAAACTAGCTACGTACTGTTGCACTCAGAAAATGTGTACCAGGTTTGGATCGGATGATAGTCCGGATTATGGTCCAGAAATTGTCTTCGATTGTTATTTTCTAACGATAAGACTTTTTTTCATTAAATAACGAACATATAAAACAAGTTTTAACGGAATTTACAATGTATACACAATAAATAAAAATAATATAAATAAATTTGAATTTTGGCATTCTAAAAAACATAACTCTATTTATTTCTGTTTAGTCATTTGGCTTTAGTTTATTTCTGTTTAACCATTTGGTTTGTTTTTTTTGTGACGTTTGTTCGTTCTTTAATAAATTATGACGGCCAAATGAACTCACATTTTTGGAAATTCATAATAGTTCAGTATAAAAAGTGCCATGCGTTTTTTAATAAAATAGACTGTAGTAATTTTCTATAACGAGTTGACTGTACATTTTTGTGATTAATCTTTTATGTATTATACTTCATCTTAGATCAATATTTTCTTTTTGTACACGAATTTTTTTAAATTGATGCGGCTGAACTCTAATTTTTGACCCACTTCGACTGTGATGAAGAATCTTGTTGAAATAGATAAGGCACTAATTTCGATATTTAGATTTTCATATTCTTTTTTGAAATATTCTATGCTGTTAAAGAGGTTGGTTAATATCACTAATAATATGTTTAAAAAACTTTTCAACAGGCATTATATTCTTATTTAGATCTTTATCGCTATGTAATTATAAATAAATTTTGAATTATTATGAATAAAAATACAAGCCAATTTCAATAATTTCTTTAAACGGCTGAACATTGCTTATTTTCACAGTCATTGTAATTTTCAACTTGATACTGATAAGCTAACGGAAATATTTGCTGAAGCGGTAGGTCCGATATATTCAAAGTTTATTTAGGTTTTAGTTTGATGGTTTCTTGTAATTAACGGAATAACAGCTTGTTCGCAATATTAAAAACGTGTCAATAATAAGTTTTGCATCTCTATTTTTTTTTCAGGAAGAAAAGACACGAAAATATTATGCTAAGCTAAAGCTAATAACAATATCGATTATTATCTTTAACAAATGATATTTTGCCCACAATATTAATCACATAGCACCATTTATATTTATTTGTTTTATCTTGCATATACGTATATATAATGCCTAAACTATCTATCTAATGACAATTCTAAAAATTAGATTAAATATATAATATTTAGCATTTAGATAAAATAATATAGCAAAAAAAAAATTTTTTAAATATTTGGTTCTTAGCCTAATATAAAAATAATATTAAATAATATTTAGTTTTTTTATTTTTTATTTTTAAGGATAGAATCTTTTGCTATAAGTCTTTTATTATATAATATAATTACAATTTATAACTATAATATACAACTAGTAAGACTTTAGTCTAGGACAATTTTTTTACAAATACATTTTTCTATCTAATATATCTAATTCTATTATTACAGTTGAATATATTACTAAAAATAGGCAATTCAGATCCCTTTTTATAAAATAGAATTGCAAATTAAGTGATTTTTTTTGTTTTGGTTATATAAATCAGAAGCTGAATTATAAATTAATTAATAAAATAAATTGTAAATTTAAGTAGAAAAGAATAGTAAAACTTATAAATTTTTTAAGTCTTGATACATATTAAAATAAAGAATTAATTCTAATAAGATTAATATTTATTATAAAATTTTGAATAAATATTATATTTATAATACCATGTTATTATAACACTCTATATGTTTTACTTAGAGTTAGGGTCTGGTTTTAAAATATATAAAGATTTTTTATTATACAATATATATTAGACATAAGGTCCTAATAGGTTCCAATTTTAGTTTTTATAAGGTTTTCAAAGATGCTAATCATTTTTACTTAGAGAATCTACATCTATTTACTTAATATGTTTTTGATATATTGAAAAAGGTGTTATATAACATGGTGTTATGAATATAACTTTCAATTTTGAATACAGTATTTAAATAAATATTTATAAAATTATTTATTATAGTTAGCTATTGCAAAATATCACAAAATACAACTAAATTTAGCAAAAAAAAGCTAATTAAATTTTATTAAAATAATCTAGAATTAATTTTTATTTTTGGTAATATATCTTAATTAATATTTATTATAATTTTTTATACTTATATTTTATATAATATATTTACTACATATATATAAACTTGAAAATTAATAGTTTTTAATATTATATCTAAGTACTTACTTTAGATAGAATTATTAGACCACATTTCCTGACTATGCTATTGCAATTGACATTCTGGATCAAATATAGTATAGGTTACCTTTTTTAAAAAACTATTTAATATATTAATTTTATATAGTAATTTTTTAATTTTAAAAGGTAAAACCATACCTCTAACTTTATTGAAATTCAATTAAGTTCCTTTACAAGAAATATATACAAGAAAGAAATTATATTTGAACTTCACTT